TTGTGTGCGGACCACCGTAGCTACGAGAGTCAACCTTGGAAAGAAATGTCAATTTGTAAAGTTTAATCATTTTAGGCCGCCTAGGGTTTTTAAAGGTTTCAGCCCCCGTAACAAGAATTCTGTAGTGGAAAAACAATTGTGCGGTGCATTTGGCTGAGGGAAAGCTGGAAAGATCAGGGTTCCGTTGCAATTTGGGCCACTTGGACGGCAGAGCCCGAAGCATAAAACACTTGATGTAGCTACTTTGACTTTGTTGGTGTTCCGCAATGTTTCAGCAACTTGAAGGTCTAAGCCACTGGACGCTCCAGATAACAAGAAGGCAGGCCAAAAAACGTCCCTGCATAGTGCTAATTAATTGCTTTTAACAAGAGTTCAGTTTCCCGCCCTTAGGCAAGAAACCTGAGCTTTCCTGCGTCCTACGTAGTAGGTTCTTAACCTACTACTTACCCCTTGCTACTAGTCATAGACCTAAGCCTACTCTTATGGTCTACCCCCGGGCTGCAGAGTTGTATGCCTCAGGCCGGCGCCCCCAAGACAACTCACCTTGCAAGCTCGAGTCGGAAGCGAACGAGGCCAGGACCAGATGAACCTCCTCTAGAATTCTCTAGAGTCCTTGGTCTCTAGGTCGAGCTTACGTCGCCAAAACGAATTACCAGAGGAGGACCCGACATTTGCCCCCCTAGCTGCCCCAGCGCAGTGCTCAATGCTGTGAGCACCCTGTCATAGGAGACGTGGAAAGCCATCGAAGCGAACATCGACGAGGTTGAAACGGTTGAAGTGGTCAAGCAGACCGCAATCGATGTGAGAACTGAGGAGGCTCGACAGACTCAGGAGGCTAATGCTTCTCAGATCCGGATTGATCTCAGCAGCTGCTGGAAAGGGTTTCAAGAGCTCCTGGCCAAGCTCCAGCCCAGTGGCGAAGTTGGAAAGGTCTTGGATGCAGCCAAGGAGCTTTGCAAGGGATTGGACCCTGAGTTGGGCCGAGAAACTTGTGCAGCACATGTCCTCCAATGCTCCTTTCTGCGGCTGACAGCTGCAAACGCTCTACTGGAATTGGCCGCAGCGATTGAGGAGGAGTGTCTTGCACCCATCGTGAGCACCTGCATTGCAGCGCGGACGGTGCTCAACGCTGTGGCGCAACAGATTGACGAGGGAAGAGGTGATTCTCAAGCAGAGAAGAGTTATGTGAACAGCTCGGACAGCTTGGAACCAGTACCTCAAGTCAAGCAGTTGATGAAGATCACGAGCGAAGTGGAAGAGCTAAGCGCTTTGACCAACCCCGACATCAACCCTGTCCTACATGAATGTCATTGTTTCTGTTGGAAGTTGGTCGTGTCCTCGGCTGAAGTTCTTTCCAAAACAGACAATGAAGAGGTGCTACTAGGAGCAAAGGGCATCGCTACTAGGAACAAGAAGCTACTAGTGACAAAGGGCATCGCTACTGGTAACAAGGACACTACTAGAATCCTGAAGAGGTGCAGGAGGCGTATCGGAGCGACTCCAAAGACCTGAAGAATTCAGAAGTCGCCACCAGGCGCAGAAAGTACGGTAACATGAGACGGTGTGAAACAGCATGTGAAACAACGTGTGAGACAATGTGAGATAGAATCGAAAAGGATATGTACTCATTGTGTGCTTCCCTGCTACGAGAGCGTGCCAGACTCATCACTCATCACAAAATGTGAGAGAACCCTCAATCATAGGCTACAGAGGCATGAATAGACAGGAGATGCATAATATGTCCTTTACATTCCATTACCATCCATTATACCTGAAGGTGGCACTGGGTTTTGATGGCCTGTTGGAAGGTCAGCTGCTTGTGCCACGTTGGCTCTTGGCAGGACGATGGCTTTGGAGGCCATGGGTTGGTCCTATTTCACACCAGAGACGTCGACAGAGTAAGTAAGTGCCAAAAAATACCCTGATGCAGGCAGTGAAGGTGCAATCAGACAAGCTGTCGGTGCTAGAGGCAAGCATTCCCTGATGCAATTGAAGCCTGCAAAAACGACAGGTACGAATTTCTATATGTTTTCTGAGGTCCGCGCTCGCCTGCGGGCAGCGAGCCTGGCAGCGATTGGCAAGGTGACCTCAGATTTACAGGTGGAGGCACCACTGCCTGAGCACTGGTATCAGTGTTGTGGCACCGTAGTTGGAGGTGAAGGAGCAACGAATCTCGCAAGCAGCCCTCGAAGCGGCGGACCTTGAGGTGGACAAACAGTTTGAGGACACAGGGCATTTCACCTTGCTGTTCGTCGTTGGTCCTGCGCAGTCGCTTCCTTCACTTTCCCTCTTCTTCTATCCTGATTTGCTTAGTAACAAGAAGCTACTAGGGGCTCCTGGCCGTACTACTAGGAGCAAGAACGCTACTAGGGGCCCCTGGCCGTACTACTAGGAGCAAGAACGCTACTAGGGGCTCCTGGCCGTACTACTAGGAGCAAGAACGCTACTAGGGGCTCCTGGCCGTACTACTAGGAGCAAGAACGCTACTAGGGGCCCCTGGCCGTACTACTAGGAGCAAGAACGCTACTAGGGGCTCCTGGCCGTACTACTAGGAGCAAGAACGCTACTAGGGGCTCCTGGT